AAAAGTCATAAAGGGTCTCCGTATATTTTCAAATAAATCACCATTTCCTTTTAGGAGATATGTTATACGTTCCAGAGGTAAAGTTGTCATAATTTGTCTGACCCAGTGCCTGATAGTTGGTGCTCTGATTTTATTCCAGAAAAGTGCAATTAGACCTTTAGATTGTAACAGACATATATCGATCAATAACTGTTCACATTTTGGTATATCTAATAATTTTGGGATATAAACCCAGAATGAAAAAAACAGGATCCACAGGAATTTCTTTTGAAACAAGTTGTTCTATAGTTTGCTTTACTTCTCTCCCAAAAAATGTTTTTGTTTTTTAATATCATTTAGAGGTTTTGAAATACATGAATGTGAAACTGTCGCTTTAACTTTCGATCCCCCAGACAAAAATGCCACGTTTTCATTTTTATGCACAAAATTAAGCTTTTTTTTCATTATAATTCATTAATGTGAAGGAACAAAAGCTAAAAAAAATGCTTTTACAGGTAGACTTTTAAATAAACTCAGAATTCTTTATGCAGAATTCAGCATAAAGGGAAAAACGTATGTAACCTCCCATATTTATTTTGCCTTTTTCTGGCCCGTTCCAGGTTAAATACAAGGAGAAATACGAGAGGGAGAAGGGCAAACCCATGCTGGACTTTGAGACTCCCACATATGTGACGGCTAAGGAGGCGCAGCACATGCAGAGCCAGGTTAGTTCCTCTTCCTTTCACCTTCAGACTTCAAATCAGATCCAAATACTCGGAAATGCCTCTTTACACCTGTATTGTTTCGCTTCTTGTTCCGCGACTGCTGGATATGGAGCGATTGTTTGAATCAAACAATTACATCGTGTCGGATCTTGTTTGAAAATACATTTTGCAGTGTCTCAAAAGCTAGTTTTTTCTACCAAATCTGTATTTAAATGCAGTTTCTCTTGTCCCTGTCCGTCTTTTCCCATTTTAAAGCACCTGGCTGGGTCTAGGGGCTAAAAACAGGGCGGTTAAAACTCAGAAAACAACACAACATTTTTTTAATTTTAGTTATAAAAGTTATAAAATAACTCTTTCCCTCACCCCCAACCGGTCGAGGCAGATGGCCGCCCACCCTGAGCCATGGTTCTGCTCGAGGTTTCTGCCTGTTAAAAGGAAGTTTTTCCTCGCCTGTGTCGCCTAGTGCTTGCTCATGGTGGGAATTGTTGGGTTTCTGTAATTAACTTCAGAGTAGGGTCTGACCTGCTCTGTTTGGAAAGCGCTGTGAGACAACTGTTGTTGTGATGTGGCGCTATATAAATAAAATTGAATTGAATTGAATTAACTGGCACATTTTGCTGTGTCAGCAGAAAAAAAAAAGCTCAAAAGGCTCCTGTTTTGTGCTTATATCCCATTTTTCTGCTGGATCTTATTAGTTTAATTCCACGTTCCTGACTCTCCCAGCCCAGAAAGCTGTGTTAAGAGTAGAAACTGGCAGGAGGCAATTGTGAAATGTCTTGGGATGGGACTTCCCCAGTGGCTCTGCATGAGGCAAAGCTCCGGCTTCTGCTGTGAAACCACCAGTAAAAATCTCCACAGGGTTGCTTCTGGCCACCATTTTAATCGAAATGGAGCCGAATTCCTGCAGCCTGAGAGTCATCAGAATCTCTGTTTGTGCATTTTGAAGCGGCTCCGCTTGCATGATGTGGATGTCTGAGCTCTGTCTGTCCCTTGTTTTATCTCTGCGGCCGATAGAAAGACTATAGGAAGGACTTTGAGGAGTCCATGAGGGGAAAGAACCTCTCGGGCTTGGAGGTCACCCCCGCCATGATTCATGTCAGACACGCCACCAAAATAGCCAGTGAGGTAACTAAAGGACCATTCA